GGGGTCAAGCTAGAATTACTTGCGAATCTTTCCATATTTTTCAACGACTTGTTCGCTTTGAGATTAATAAAGTTCATTTTCCAAGTGAAATGTTTGCAATATACTCTGATGAAACATATTGCTTTAATTTCGTTGAGGATTGAGAAACCATAACACTAAAGTGTTGCGCATGTTTCAGAGCAGCAAATCGCACGGTACGACCGCATAGTGACGTTCGCTTATGGAACTTTCGGTCCTGAGAAGTATGTCACAGATCGCATTGTGTTCAATATAGGACAGTCAGCAAATTGTGTCAATGAGTCCCATGCGACCATTTATGGTGGAAATGCTCTTCACGGCGCTGAGCCAATGGAGACGGTATGATAGCAAATCTTGTTCTTTATTTAGTGGTATATGTAGGCGTTTTGCGCGTACGAGGTGGTGCTGGCCGGGTAAGCGGCGCCCTTGCGGGTGGTTTACAAATCCAGTCCCGAAACGAAGCTTGTCCAGGCCTAACTTATGCCTTCCATCTCCCTGGGGTCGTGATTAGTACCAAAGTTGTTCCGTGCATCGGTTCTCATTGCATATAATTCGCATTCTGATGCCACCAAGATTTTGAGTGGAAGTCAAATTCAGTTATCCCAACTGATTTGAGTGGCGTGCATTTGGCTCGTATACCTGTCTGTGGACGTTTTGTTATGCAGTGGTCGTACTCCCTCCTAATTTTGTGTGATATTGTTTGCACAAGTGCCAAGACGATTTCCTCGTCACTAGGTGAGGATTCAATGGGAACGTGTGACTTTGCGATTACATCCCTTTCGGGTGTTGATTTGCAAAAGAGTGGCTTTTGACGGACCAATTATGACCACGGTGTTAGTGTGCGTAATCTTTAGAGTCTTTCTTATGCAAAGTTTTGCAATGCCTTTCCAATGTGAAGTCTTCATAGGACAGCTGTTTCATCTTTCCTTAATGGTTGAACGTGGTACAGTTTTTCTTGAGCAACCTCCTTTGGAACAGGTCAAATTTTTCAGGATTACATGTTGGCACCATCTGCTGGTAGGAATGGAGTGACTAGTGAATTAGATGATTCTAACTTCGAAGTTTATCGACCATAGTATCCTGTTAGGAAGGGTAAAAAAACCATTAACATCATCACATGAATTGTACTTTTGTTCTTGTCATTTCTCATTCATTGTATGTGATTTGTAAGTTGTTTTGCGATCAGGATGATACTTTTAATGCTATTTTAGAGATTAGAAACTCTAGCGCAGTTTTACCGCATATTCATTATTGCGGTCCAATCAATACCCCAGTCAGTTATATGCGCTTTGAAATTCGTAGTTCTTCGAAGAAGAGCTTGAGTAGTGATTAGAAAAGTCAGAAAAAAAAACTCATAATTTATTGCTGGTCAGCTTGTGAGTGAAAAAACCAATCCAAAAACAAAACCAGCGCATAGCCACTGTATTATATATGACTTGCACATGGGTGTTATGAAATGTCTGTCACTCTCACTACTTCTCTACATATAACAGTAATGCTGATTGTTTTTGGTTCGCCTTTATAACATCCTAATTCTAGACGAGTCAACTTGTTTTATACGGTATCATTCTGTTTGTTTCTACTCAATTGTCTACGTGAATCATTCTGCAGAGATCCTGCAGTTTTTGATAGATTCCGCTTCATATGTAGGTTTTATTGTCTTTTTTTTTGTTGAGAGGCTTATGCGGTTACACGGCTAATTTATTGTTGAGTAATTCCGTACCATTTGTAAAACCGTTTTTTGTTAATTGGAGTGCTAATTGACTTCAATGATATACATCAGTGTGATTTTTTTTACAAATAAAGGTTTGCGTAATGAAGTTTTGCACAATCTCAAGTTGTTTTCAAATAATATACGCAGCTGGTATAGCTCTCGAAATTATGCAGGTCAGACACTTGTTGGAACTTGAACAGTAGGAAATTGGGACAGTTTAGTGCAGTTTTTCTCTTGATTTTTGCAACAGGGACTTAGTTTACTTGTTTTGTCACCTGGATCAGTAGTCTTTAATGATCGTCGTTTTTCCTTTTTGTGATTGTGTCATTTATATTCGTGACGCGCAGTACTACATAGTTTTTAGAAGGGGTTTTTTCCTGTCTCATATGGCAGGGATTTTCAGTGCCTTTTATAGCAAAGTTTTTTTTTTGGTCACCATTGGAAATCTCAATTGGAAGATGGTTGTGGTGTTCTGCAAATAACGGGTCTGTAGTTTGACTCGAGTGCAAGGGGTTGCGGGGGGGGGTGGCGAAGGGAGGAGAAGAAGAGGTGAAGGGAGAGAGCTCGGACTAGCGCAGAGCCACCCAGGAACGAATTAAAAGCCATAGCGACATTTTCACCTGGATTCACCTAGACCTTGGCTTTGCCGCAAACGATTGGATTGTCGTCGGTACGCTGGCGAGTAATTAGTAATTGCCCGAGAAATACTAACAAGGACTTTGGTGCTATTCTTCAGTTTTATATAATAATCTAGCAGTTCATGAGAATCCTGATGCTTACTGCTTCTTACTTACACTCCTGTATTTTAGAGGTTATTAGCCCTTTTTGTTCACTTGCCAACATAGTTGGAGGGTCGCCGCCGCGGCGCAAGACATGTTGTCGTCCTTTAGGGCTAAAGTTCTGATCGGTTACCTAGGTTGACCATAGGCAGTTCCGGTTTGGGCCTGGAGCAAGTCATTCGACATGAGTGAATGGCTGAAGGTGCAAGTTTTACATTCTTTTCGTTGAGAGGTTCATAAACGTGCCGCAGGGGCGTGCTGTGGACAGGCATCCCCCGACTGGGGTTAGCCCCTTGCCCACACCCGCGGGTCTTTGTGGAGGTGCTACTCTGAGCCACAATCAGTCACATGCAAATGAACATGCTACCGTAGTCCAAGACATGAGCCATTTTAGATGAAGAATATTTTTTCAAGTTGTTTGTATGCCATTTTCAGATGGTCAATCTTTATCCGTGGCCATCGAAGTGATGAAGAAGTTGAAGCAGACGAAAGTGGCGAGGATGAGGACATGGAAGATATTGAGGTGGCGTTTCCACATCATTAGTTGCCTTGACTTATGCTTTTTAGCAATCGACTATTGAAAGAAATCGTACTAGTATTGCAAAAATAGGAAGTATTTTAGGCTGTTGCGGTTGTGAAAAAGAAGAAAGTTGCTGGAGCTGCCAATGAGTTCTCGTCGGATTTTTCGTTCGAATGCACAGCTGATCAGAAGCTCGACCACGACGATGCTGCCCTTAAGAAGTGAGTATCATGGACGTTGGATCTTAAAAAGTAATGAATTCGATGCAGAATGTGAAACCCTATCGTTGTAATTTCAGGTACCTGCGCAAGGAAGTTGCGTCGACCTTGGAAGAGAAAAATTGAGGCGGTCCGTAAGGCCAAAAACACATCGAAAGAGGTTGAAATAGACGTAAAAAATGAAGACGATGGTGTGGAACAGTTAGGAGGAAGGGAAGCGAAAGGTTTGTCAAACTTTCGATGGGTTCAGTCTATTTTTATAAATATGTCGTTAGTGCGTTTAGCTTAATACGGGTGTATAGTGCTATTGGTAGTAGTAGAATTACATGGAAGTCATTCTGCTTTCACATGCTGCACTCGTGGTTAAATCTTAAAGCTTTTTCCTATCATTATCGGGTAAGAGGGCAGTTGAAACTATAGCGAAGGGCATAGAGAGGACTAGTTAAAAATGCACCAGCAGGTGCAGGTTTTTTTTCATTCCTTGGAGCTTACTCTCAAAAAAAGGAGTGAACATATTTGAAGTCTGAGATATCAATCTAGTTTCATGACCACCTTCAGACAAGTTGCGGGATAAAAAGAAGATGGGACGGAAAAGCGTTCAGAAACAAGATGACTTTTTCGAAAAGGCGATGGATTTCTCGGACACTATCACATTTGATCAGATGAACTTGTCACGTCCAATGTTGAAGGTGGGTCCTATGATATATACATCCATCCTCATCCTTATACACATCCTTTCACATATCCAAAGTTTTTCGAGCTATTCTTTTCTTTAGGTTTTGTGGCTGAAACCTATTTCAGTAATTTACTTCCCCTGCAAAAATTGGCATTATTGTGGGCGGCACGGAGCTTTTTTCCCTACGCCCTTCCTTATTGAATTAGTCCCTGTAATTGTTTTGATTCATGTGTTATTGTGTTCTATTAAGGCCATCGCCGCAGCAGGATATACAGAACCCACACCGATTCAAGCAGCTTGTATCCCTGTCGCTTTATCTGGGAAAGATATCTGTGCTTGTGCGGCAACAGGAACTGGTAAAACGGCCGCTTTCGTTCTGCCAATATTGGAGAGACTTTTGTATCGATCAAACGCACGTTCATGTACACGAATCTTGGTGCTCGTCCCAACAAGAGAGCTTGCAATTCAAGTTTTCCAGGTAATATTTGAAGAATTTATGTTTCTAATCTTCCCCATTCAAAACGAGACTCTTGTGCTAGGAATTGGTAATAATTTCAGGTTTTTCGCAAGCTTTCCACGTTTTCACAAGTGGAGGTATGCCTGTGTGCAGGTCAGTCCGAATAAGTTTTGATTTGACAATGTACAATTTTTGGGCGTTGATAATGCTGCTTTCATATGCTCACTAAAGATGGATCATTTCTTCTGTTCGCTTGACAGAATTCTGTGCAATATTTCTTTATAATTATGCACAGATTAAGATTCTAGTCAGTGGATGCATCTAAAATCTAGAGGCCTAATTTCCTTTGCTCACTCGGAATGATTCCGAAAAAATGCCTTCTCTGCAGTGAGAAATCGTTTCCAATATCGTTGCTCACTGTTCACATTTCTTGTTTCATCTTCATGCCATCATCTATTCACCTGACGGTGCACGTATAACTTTTCTGTGACACCATATTTCATAACAACGACGATAGCAATACCGTTTTTGAGCTCCTTGCATTTTTATGAGGAAGCAATTGAGTTAATTGTTAGGTTCTTTGGCATGACAAGTTATGCTCATCCCTGGTCGAGTTTTTAGCCGTCGTTTATAGATTATCACGTCGGCGTCCGTGTGGCACGATGCTGTATCACAAGCAATCGGCTACATGGGACAGTGCGACACGGCGCCGTGCCACGGTCTCTAGTATTTTTAGCAATGTTTCACGAGTTTTTTGTGGCATTCCTTCTAAGTGGTATGTAAATCATGGCTTAGATTGTGCACAAAAGCCCGGTCCCTTGAAAATATCTTGGTAGATGAGTTATTGGGTTTCGAGAAAATGGATAAGCTCAATAAGCGGTCGCAATTTTTTTCTTGGTTAGACTAGAAATGTTCATTACAGAAATGATGTTGGCATTTGCTTTAATGGGTTGATATCTCACAGCATTGAAAATGAATTGGCATGTGCGCATTTAGGGCCTCTGCACGTTTGATCGTAGCAGCCTTTAGTGTCGTCTTTTCCATTCTTCGTATTTTCATTTTGCCACGTAATTGTTTGTAGTTTCTTAGTTGTGTGTTCGCATATTAGAATGTCCGATGCCAGTTCCGCAATGATTTTGGCAAGTCTCTTAGCATTGAAACATCCATTTTGGCTCCCTTCATCCTAGCTTTGCAAAACAATAAACAAGAGTTGATCAGTGCAATTGTGTCAGAAGGTTCCCTTTAATTGCGCGTTGACCTTGCCGCTTTCCCACGCTCATGAACCGCTGAGATCGCTAAACGCGAAGTCTGTCACTCGCCGCACAAAAAAAACGAAAGCGAAGCGCGATCATCATCGTGTTAACGACATGTTTGATGAATGTTTCGGAATCCGCCAAGAAAAATTTTTCTTGGTGTGGGAACATTGGTAAAACAATTTCATTTATTTTTTTTTCTGTCATTCTGAAGTTATTGTTCGGCAAGGGCGGCAGCATCGGTTAGTGAGGACAAATTGTACGCTTTGACAGATCAAATTCTGGGTCGTGAGTCAGCCGGGCCAACCAAGCCTTCCATCCCTTCCGGGTCGGTTAATTGTTACCAGACCTTGTCTGGGAGGGCAAAACACTGACTTGTACATCGGCTGGCCCCCGCAAGTCATTGTATGGGCCACATCGCATTCAAAACCACTACGAATGTACAAATGGAAGTAAATG